GTTTGCTGAATTGTGGACAGGCCTTGCATTTTCTTTCTAAGCGCATCGTGCCTCTGAACCAAGCCCGCGGGGTTTTCCATCGGAGGAGGTAACAACCCTTCATCATCTTTTGTGCTTTTCTCTCGTTACAACTTCGTTTTTTGCCTCTTCAGAGCATGTTTTTCATATAATTACTTTTGCTGTTTGAATTTTCTTGACTTCCTAGTCCTGCCATTGTTTGCTTTTGCTTCGAATATGTGCTTCGTGTAATCTTGTGCTGTTTGAATATTCTTGGCTTCCTAGTCTTGCCACTGTTTGTTTTTGCTTCGAAGGGATATGCGGTTTCAGCTACATGCAGGTAGCGCGTCCTTTGTACTTCGATGGTTCCATAAAATTCTCGTTGTTTTTTTCTCTTTTGGGGGCTGTTGGGGGGTTGGGCGGAAAGAGTTTGGTGATTGAGACTCGAGTAGTCTTATGTTAGCCAAGCTTTACCATTGAAGAAATATCGAAAACACTTTTCAATCTCTATGGCTGGATTGTGTTCTTTTTATGATGCGTGAGGACTGAAAGAACTCATGGGGGCAGGAGGGTGGACATTTTCAAATTCAGCTTATGTGCAATCCAGAGATTTGAACATTATCCAGATAGTCGGTAGTCGATTTAACAGGAAATATATTATAACCAATGTCCTAAAAATTTGTGTTGAAAAAATCTGTTTTGGTTAGTAAGGGCCCGTTTGGTAACGTGCCAAATAGTGAAAATTTCTGTTCTTTTGTTCCCAAAAATAGTTTGGGAACAGAAATGCGTTTGGTAAATTTTTTGTTCCTGGGCACATTTTTGCAAAAATTTGTGCCAAGAAGCAGTTTTGGAAGAGAAACAAGAAATAAAAAAAAGTTGCTTCTTGTTTCTCAGCAGAATTTTGAGAATCAGTTTTTTTTCTTCTTTTTCTTTTTTTTCTTTTCTTAATTTTGTGTTGTTCTTTCCTGGGCCGGGCCGGCCACGGCGACGGCCACAGCCTCAGTGCCGGCGAGGGCGTCACGGCCCTCGCCGGCCGCCGGCGGAGGCGAGGGTCGCCCGCCGGCGAGGGCGAGGGCCGGACCCTCGTCGCCCGGGCGAGGCGGCCTCGCCTGCAGACGCACGAGGCTCGGCCTCGCCCAGATCTGGCGAGGCCGAGCCTCTGCCGTCGCGACCCACGGCGGCCGACCTCACCGTGGGTCGCGACGGCGAGGCCGAGGCCAAGATCCGGCGAGGCTCTCGGCCTCGCCGTCGCGACTCCACGGCGAGGTCGGCGCCGTGGGTCGCGACGGCGAGGCCGCCTCGCCCAGGCGGCGAGGGCGATCCTCGCCTCCGCCGGCGACCGGCGAGGGCCATGACGCCCTCGTCGGCCATGGCCAAAGAAAAAAATGGGTAAAAAGAAAAAAAATAAACAATTCAAAATATTATTAAAATATTATTTGGGAACAGAAATTTTGTGTAGTTACCAAACGCATTTATGTTCTTTTCTACTCTAGGAATAGAAATTTTGGACAGTTTATCAAACTTCTTCAAATACTCAGAAATTGTTTCCGGGCACAGAATAAAAAAAAATCATTTCTGTTCAGAAATAGATTCCGGACACAGAATGGTATTCATGCGCACCCTAACTAACAAGAGTTGGTTGCTACTGGTTGCCGAATCAATTGCAAGGCATCCCTTTAATTGAGCATGTTACCAAAATGTCGAGCAGATGTGGTAGTTTAAATTGCAAAATCAATAGAGCACTTAAGGGCGCGTTTGGTAACATTTCTACTTCTCTATTTTTCTGTTCCCTGGAACAAAAAAAGAACGGAAATCTGTTTGTTAACGCATTTTATTTTTCTATTTCCTGGAATAGAAAAATGGCCAAGAAATAGATTTGGAACAGATATAAGAAGTAGTTTTTTTATACTTCTTTGTTCCCATAAACAAAAAAAGAAATAGAAAGGTCCGGTCCTCAAGCCGCGGCCTCAGCTCCTCCTCCATCCTTCGTTGTCCGTAGACCATCTCAAAGCACCAGTCCGGTCCATTCCCAGCGAGAATAATAAAAAAAATTCATAAAAAAATTAAAATTTCCCAAAATTCCAAAAATTCATAAAAATCAGAAAAATTCTCAGAAAATCCATAAAAATCAGGAAAACTCAGAAAACCCATAAAAATTTACAAAATTCTAAAACTGAAAAAATTAAAAAAATTCATAAAAAAGTTTCTGGAAAATAAAAAGAGACAAATTTTGGGAAAGTAAAAAATTTTAATAAACTTTTCCCCAAAAAAAATCAAAAATAAAAAATTCACAAAATGGGTAGAATAAATTAAAAAAATTCCGAAAATTCATAAAAATTAGAAAAATTTCAGAAAAATCCCTAAAAAAATTAGAAAATTAAAAAATTCCAAAAATTCATAAAAATCGGAAAAATTCTCAGAAAATCCATAAAAATAAGAAAAACTCAGAAAACCCATAAAATTTTGCAAAATTTTGAAATTGAAAAAATTAAAAAGAATTTCATAAAAAAGTTTCTGGAAAATAAAAAGAAACAGATTTAGCGAAAGTAAAAAATTTTAATAAATTCTACCCCAAAAAAATAAAAAAAAAAAGTTCACAAAATGGCTTAGAATACCTGTGGCCACCCACTTTGAGTGAAATTTAAAATTTTTTTAGGTGCCCAAATGGTATTTTTGAAGATTCCTTAGGTTAGGGATTAAAAGAGGTTTTAAACCCCTAAAAAGGATTAGACAAACCAATAAACCATGCTTATTGGTTTTTTTCACTTATAACTTGTACTTATAGTTAAATAAAAGATATAGATTTGAATGCAAAAAATTGGGAATAGAAATTTTTTTGGTTGTACCAAACGCATTTCTATTCTTTTTCTATTCCAGGAATAGAAATTTTGTGCAGTTACCAAACGCATTCTTTTGCTCAAAAACTCATCCAGGAAATAGAAATAGAAAAAACTATTTCTGAAAAGAAATTATTCCCGGAAACAGAAACGGTACCAAGCGTGCCCTAAATCTGACGTACACAGTCATGGGTTTTGCTCGAGTGGTTTTTACTGCAAACATGCACGTTTGTTGGCCAACTTATTGTTTTAGAATTTTTCCCTGGAGACGATATTTTAACTATTGGCATTAGGTAAAGCAATCTTCTTAGCCTATGGGCCCGTTTGGTTCAGCATTTTCAATGCTCATTAGGAGAATGCAAATACCTTTAGGTGAAAGCCACTTTGGGGAAATGCAAATGGCGTTTGGTAAAAAATCATTTGAAAGCCATTTGAGAAAATGCAATTGTGTTTGGTTATATTTTTACAAATGAGCTTTGGGAGGTTTTTTTTTCAAAAAAAAAGTACCCTTTGGATGAACAGTTCCGGCGAAGGGCTACAACCGCCGGCGAGCCAGATCCGGCGGCCATCGCCCGACCTCGAGCGATCGCCGCTTGAGGTCGCGCGACCCAGCAGCGACGGCCCGGGTCGCGCGACCCTGCCAAAGCGGCCGCCGCTGGGTCGCGCGACCCCAGTGCGGCCGTCGCCCGGGTCGCGCGACCCAAAGCGGCCGTCGCTGGGTGTGCAACCACTCGGAGGTCGCGCGACCCGGGCAATGATACAGCTGGGTCCCGCTGACCCCAAGCAGCCGTCGCCTAGGGTCGAGCGACCCAGGCGGCCGCCGCTTGGGGTCGAGCGACCCAGGCGGCCGCCGCCTAGGGTCGCGCAACCCAGGCTACGCTCGAGGTCCGGTGACCCCAGGCGGCAGTCGCCGGTGTTGCGCGACCCCCAGGTGGTGGTCGCTGGGGTCGGGCTAGCCCTCAGGCGGCGGTCGCCGGCTGACGGAGCTGCCGTAGGGAGAAGATGAACAGTTCCGGTGAACAGTACAAGTTGCATTCCGAAAATGAGCATTCCCAATGGACCTTCTAAAGTGCTTTGGCCAAATGAGCATTGGAAATGCAATTGCATCTCCCCAAAGTGAGTAAAAAAATTTGCCAAACACCATTTTGCATTTGGTCAAGGGACTTTAGAGCTCAAATGAGCATTGAAAATGCTGAACCAAATGGGGCCTATATATGGGTACGGGCAGGTATCCTGGTATTTGAGTAGATGGAGTGAGATAAGATGATACCTCATGATTGGCTAATCCTTTAATGAGATATCAGAGCATTTGCTCTGGAGGTTTTTGTGTTGGCATGTTATCTTTCAAAAGCCTCTTGTACTAGCATACTTCATGCTTTCAGATATCTGTTTGTAATTTTTGGCAACCGGCTCACTGAATTTGCAGATTGAGGGACTTCAGAGGCATCCGAGATATGGGGCTCGAGTCGAGCCATGTACTTACGGGAACATGTTTGATGCTCTATACAGAATCCCGCGGTTGGAGGGTTGGTCAGGTCTTTATAAGGGCATAGTGCCTTCCACTATCAAGGCTTTACCAGCTGGCGCTGTAACATTTTTCGTTTTTGAATTAACATCGCATTGGTTTGAGTCAACTTTTAGCTGATTATCTTCTTTACTTTTTCCCTTTTTTATTCATTTTAAAGATATAGATGTTCATATTTTTCCCTTATTCTTTTCCCTTTAAAAAGATATGTCAATGTCCCCCACTCAAGGGAAGGAGCTAAAATATTTTTCAAAATAGTCAATAGCGTTCAATGCAGAGGTTCCAATTGTGATGTAAGGCAACTATAAATGTATTTCGAGTTGAGAGTAGTAGGAAAAGTTTTTGCTTAGACATCTTAGATACTCTTGACTTTGGAATGTTGCAAAATTTTCAGATAATGTTGTAAAGTTGCTTAAGATTGATCGAGGTAAAGAAATGATCTGCTTATCATCTCCCACTTATGGCTTTGTGCAATACCTGGCCCCATTGCCAACCCTCCTGGAGTGATTGACAAGTTTGGTCCTGAAAATCTTAGCCTTATCTAGCAATGAACAATTCACGCAGGCGAAAATTATAATTAATGTGCTTAGACTGTTGGCCATGGATGCTCTTGATCAGACTGAAGGTCGGACAAAAAAATATGCATGAACCTTAAAATTTTCAGAGTCAATTTTACGTCCCCGATGCATAAAAAAGATCAGTTTTATAAACGTAAACCGTACAAAAATTCTCACGACATCAGCAAACATGCCGAAAACAGATGTATACACTAACACGATGATTATGAAGACAACTCTGCCCCGTGTAAGAGGTGTTTCAGTCATTTGACAAAAATTGCATGGTGATACACAAGCTAAGCTTCAAAGTCCATGGGGATCGTCAATTGTCCTTATTGGCACTCCCTTAACTGCTGTCTTCTGGAGGCAGTGACACAAACAGCAGGATCTTCTGAACATGTGCGACATCCACCCGAAACTTTTCGGCAATATGCTGGATGTCCATGGGGCCACTATGATCACCGGCTTTAACTTGATGCAAGGGGATAATTTGGCGTACCTGTGCTACATTGAGAGTTCCCTCAGGGACCGGCCGCTCCTCATATCTACAGAATTTGGTTTCGTAGTTTTGGCATCAGCCTATTGTACTTTTCCACCACAAAGGCCTGTATGCATGTTTTAAGGCAGATTATGGTGAAGTTGCAACATCAATGCAGGGGAAGAACAAACTTAAGATACATATATTATGTGATGGTAGAATGTCCAACAAGATAAGGTAGGCTGTATGTCAATTCAAAAGAAGAAAACTTAAGCAATTTGTTTCGCATTCAGAGAAAGCAGGAATGCTATAATACAAGAAAATGGTCAAAGAGGTTCATTTCTGTTTTCTTTTTACTGAGCAGAAAAGCACGACTCCAGAGATGTATGAGACCAACGAGTAAATATTCTATGAATCTCTCAAAGGAACTTGAAGCATCAACAGCCTCATTTTTTGGCAAATTCATGAGTCAGATATACCTAATCTCTGGCAGATTATTTCCAAATGACATATTTATTATCATAAGTACATGTCCATAACCGAAGTGTAGAAATGAATAGTGAACTAGGCGAGCACACATGAAGAGCAATAAGAAAAAGAGTAACTCCATTAACATCCTTAAGCAATGCTGCACCACATAATTAATAAGGAAGACAAAATGACTTAATCATGCCTTCCAACAGGTAAAAAAGGTCAAACATATACCCATTTCGATTTCCATAGCAACCTAAAAACTCAGTTAATTTTCTCCTAAGAGACCATAGAGTCCCATGAAGACACTTCAAGCGGCACCATAGTAGGTGTCAAACCATGGCACGGCACCTTGTGTTGAAAGAGTGAATCACTCGAGTATGATATCAACTTACAGTTTACTCAAGAATTGTATCAAAGCTGTGTCGCACCCCAATATTATTAGTTCACAAGAAGAAGGTGGGGTATATACCGCTTCTACACTTAGTGAGAAATGCAAATAATATACTTCACAATCATCAACAGCTACAGAAAGAAAATCGGCTTACGAACCTCACGCATCTCAAGTTTCCCTCCAGGTTTTGATTGAATCCGACCCACGATCTGGCTAAGCATCATCATACTGGGGATCGTGTTCTTCGAGGACATTGTCTGCATCAGCTTTGCCACCGCATCTACAAGATTTTAATGCGTTTGTATCTAAAAAGAGAGAATAGAATTACTTATTATTCTCAAATTGTGATTATAGGGTTACAAATATATATACGTGCTTAACCCTACTCACAAACTAGATTACTATTCTACCCTTAATATTCACAATATTTCCCAACATTCCCCCTCAAGTTGGGATGTAGATATCAAATAATCCCAACTTGTTACATAAGAAGCTCACTCTATTCCCCCGTAGAGATTTAGTAAAAATGTCTGCTAGTTGATCTTCTGTCTTTGTGTGCTGAAGAATAATCTCGCCTTTTTGAACTTTTTCTCGCACAAAGTAACAATCAACCTCAATGTGCTTAGCTTAGTCCGCTCATGGAAGACGGGATTAGATGCAATATGAATATCGGATTGATTATCACAATACAGCACTGATGGAGTTGACGATGACATTCCAATCTCTGATAGTAACATCCTCAACCATACTAATTCACTTGTCACATGTGCCATAGCTCGATATTCAGCTTCAGCACTTGATCGGGAAACAACATGCTGTTTCTTGCTTTTCCACGCAACTAAATTGTCTCCCAGAAACACACAATAGCCTGAAGTAGATCTCCTATCCATAGGACATCCAGCCCAGTCGGCATCAGAGAAGCCTACAGTGTTTAGATGACCATAATTCTTAAACTGTAGTCCTTTACCAGGTGATCCCTTCAAATATTTGACAATTCGAAGCACAGCATCCCAATGAGTAGTACGCGGAGAACTCATGAATTGGCTTACTACACTAACGGCGAAGGATATATCAGGTCTTGTGATGGTAAGATAATTTAACTTACCAACTAATCTCCGATACTTCGCTGAATCATGTAATAATTCTCCATGTTCTGCGTCAAGTTTTACATTGGGATCCATAGGGGTATCAACTGGCTTTGCTCCAAGAAATCCAACCTCACTAAGAATGTCAAGTACATACTTCCGTTGCGATGAATTGATACCAGCATGTGAGTAGGATACTTCAACACCAAGAAAATATCGAAGACATCCCATATCTTTAGTACTGAATTCTATATGTAGGAATTGCTTAAGTTTTTGAATACCACCTGAATCACTGCCAGTAATGATGATATCATCTACATATACAATTAGAAGGATACAACCAGCTAAAGAGACAGAGCTGAAAACTGAATGATCTACCTGACACCGCTTTAATCCAAATTTGATAACCGCATCACTAAATCTACCAAACCAAGCACGAGGAGATTGTTTAAGTCCATACAAAGCCTTGTGTAAACGACATACCACATTCTCCCCCTGAGCAACAAACCCAGGTGGTTGCTCCATGTAGACCTCCTCAACCAGATCACCATGTAAGAAAGCATTTTTCACATCCAACTGATGAAGGAGCCAACCAAATCGCGCAGCCAGTGAAATAAAGACACGAACATATGGTATTTTGGCTACTAGAGAGAAGGTGTCATCATAGTCGACACCATAAGTTTGAGTATATCCCTTCGCAACTAACCATGCCTTCAATCGATCAAGAGTGCCGTCCGGGTGAACTTTAACAGTAAAAATCCAACGACAACCAATAGGTTTCTTATCAATAGGTAAGGAAGTAAGCTCCCAAGTTCGGTTCTCCATAAGTGCTTTCATTTCATCCTCCATAGCACGACGCCAACCCGGATGAGCAAGAGCTTCAGCAACACTGCTAGGTACAGAAATAGAAGACAACGACGAGACAAATGCAGAGAAGGTGGGAGATAAACGATCATAGGATAGAAAATTAGAAATAGGATGACATGTACGGACACAATCAGAAAGACCGGAATAAGGAGCATACCAATCAACAGGACGACCAACACAGGAACGTGTACCTTTTCGAGAAGCAATGGGCTGATCAGGATCAGAGGCTGGTACTGTAACTAATGGGGGAACAAATGAATCAAGTTCTGATGAAGACGTTATTGTCATAGTCGGAACGGTACTGCGTCGATGATATGTGCGTTCAGCAAACTGAAATTCTGTGGATGTAGCTGGAGAAATGGAAGGTGGTGGAAGTGTTGGTAGGACACAACCATCACCATCACCATCACTAGATGTCATTGGGACCATCGAAGAAGAAAAATATGACTGATCTTCAAAGAATGTTACATCTGCGGACACGAACATACGACGGCAAGTAGGACTGTAACATTTGTATCCCTTCTGAGTCTGAGAGTATCCCACAAAGACACATTTTTCAGCACGAGGATCCATTTTATCAAGACTTGGAGTAAGACAATGTACAAAACAGACACACCCGAAGACCCGAAGAGGTAATGAAAAGAGAGGACGATTTGGATGTAAAATAGAGAATGGTGTCTCCCCCTGAAGAAGAGAAGTTGGAAGCCTATTAATTAAATAACATGCTGTGAAAACAGCATGGCCCCAAAAATTTTTAGGTAGATGCATATGAAACGTAAGGCAACGGGCAACATCAAGAAGATGCCGATTTTACGTTCGGCTACACCATTTTGCTGGGGAGTGTATGAGCAAGAAGTCTGATGAATAATACCATGGGACTCAAGAAATGGCAGGAAACCAGAAGTTGCAGCAAGATATTCTCTAGCATTATCTGACCGTAAATATTTGACAGAGATATTATATTGATTCAATACTTCAAAATAGAACAATTGAAAGCAATGAAAAATCTATGTACGGTTTTTTATTAGGAATAACCAAGTCATTCGGGAAAAATCATCCACGAATGTAACAAAATATCTGAATCCAAAGACATCAGACACACGACACGGACCCCATACATCTAAGTGAACCAGTTCAAATGGACTAGACACACGACTCTGAATACGGGAAGGAAAAGAAGTTCTATGATGTTTACCAAACTGACACACTCTACACTGAAAGGAACTCACAGACTCAGACTCAGGAAATAGACGCCGAAGTATGTTCGGTGGTGGATGACCAGCACGACAATGCATTCGATATACATCAGTGGATGTACGCTTTACAGCTGCAGCAGCTAACACCTTCTTATCAAGATAGTACAGGCCATTTGATTCATGTCCCCCACCAATCATCTGTCCAGTCCTCAAATCCTGAAAGACACAATGAGAAGAGGAAAAGGTTACGGAACAATTTAGTTCTTTAGTTAACGAGCTAACGGAAATCAAATTATAAGGAGATTTTGATAGGTGAAGAACAGATGATAAAGAAAGTGAGGGACTCAAATGTGCAATTCTTGTACCAGTAACCTGAGATTGTGAGCCGTTTGCTAATGTAACTGAGTTTGATAATAAAGGAGATGTAGAGTGAAATGAAGACAGTAGGTTAGAGTTACCAGTCATGTGATTAGTAGCTCCAGAGTCTATAACTCAGGAGTCAGATGCTGCAGACAACAAACAAGATGAACTACCTTTGGAGGTTTGTGCTAGAGTTGCAGTAGGAGCTGAAGATCCTGTCACCTGTTGAGAGCGAACCAATGTATCATACTCAGCACGTGTTAATGTAACTGAATCGCCTGTATCCTTCACATTAGTCGAACTTGGTGGACCTGTTGAGGGAGCAACAAGAGAATCCTCAACTTCTGCATATGCAGCCAGGGGTGGTCTGAGTTCTGGGTGAAGTGTATAGCAATAAGCTTCTGTATGTCCAGCTCTTTGACAATGATGGCAATAGCGTGAGCCACGACTATTCCCAGAATTCATGGTACCACGAGTACCAACTCCCCCATCACGGCCTCCACGACCTCCACTATGAACAAAACCGTGTCCATGACCTCGACCTCCACGTCCGCTAGGACCATGGGAAAGCATAGCACTCATCTCCACAGCCGGCGTGGAAGAAATCTTCTCAGGAATTGTGGAACGGAGAGCCTGGGAGAAGACTTCATCCACTGTAGGAAGAGAACTCTAAGATGTAATATGTTGACGGAGAGATGAATACTCGGGCCCCAATGATTTAAGATATAATATTACCCTCAAATCCTCTTGGCGTTTGGCCAAAACATCTGGATCATTCGAGGCAGGAAGATAAGTATCCAGTCGCTGGCAAAGGGTCGTGAACCGAGCATAATGATCGGATAAAGATTGATCTCCACACTGAATATCAAACAGCTTTTCCCACGTGTCACATACTCGCATCATATTATTTTGCCCCGAATAGAGTAATGCACATTTATCCCAAACTGCCTTAGCAGAGTCACACTGAATAAAGTGAGGACTGACCTTAGGATCCATGCTATTCCACAATAGAGTCTGAATCATCGCATCTCCTGCAACCCAATCAGCAGCTTTACTCTTATCGGATGGTACCATAGATGTGAGATAGTCAAGTTACCTGGTGGCAGTAAGATAGACCTCAATAGCTTTAGACCAGGATGGATAATTAGTTCCATCCAACTTAACAAATGTTAATTGAAAATGACCAAAAGGGGATCCTGATCCTGAAGTCGATCCACTGTTCGCCATTAGTGAAAGAAATAGTGTGATTGAGCCCAAAAAATTAACTTCACAGTAACCAGCACTTCAATTCGGTAATCCAATCAAATACACAAGTAATTCCGAACATAAAAGGACTCAATCCAATTGCCACCAGCAGTTCACCGACACTTCATGAAATCATTCCATCTATCTGTGGTTAATAACATAAATTACCAAACCACCAGCAAGCTATTCTCACTGTTTCCTTCGATTCAATGTAATATCGCGCACATAAATACTTAAGTCAGCAGCAAAAAGAATTTCAATGGAAAATGAAGAATACGTCACTTTCAAGGAGAGGAGCAGCAACTTTATCCTCTGTAGGAGCCATAAAATCCAAGCAACAGTGATATTTATGGAGAAGACGAGATTTCCTTGCGTATTCAAGTTCAATCTCGGTCGGACATCGCCGGATTTGAGGTGAGCTAGGTCCAACGACGTTGGAATGGATTACACAGTGCTAGATCTAGTCACCAAGGTTGAGCGACAGCAATCACAGAGTTAGGCAATGCCGGGAGACTCGAACGTTGCCAGATCTGAGTCGTTGGGGCTCGACGATGGCTACTCGTGGGTCGCCAGGGGTCGGCGATGGCTTGTCGTGAATCGCTGGGGTTCGGCGACGGCTACGTGTTGGTCGCCAGGGTTTGGCGACGGCAGCTCGTGGGTCGCCAATCGACGACGGTTGGTCGTGGGTCACCGAGGCTTGAATCACCAAGGCACGACCAGGTCTGGGTCGCTAAAGGTCAGCAACGAGGTTACTGAGGGACGGCGACAGAGTCGCCACAGTTTGGGTGCCGCCACCCGGCGGGGCGGGGGGGGGGGGGACTTCACCGGTGACAGAATAGTAGTTTCCGGCAATCTGGTGGCTAGGTTTGAATAGGTTTTTTTTTTGTGTGTGGGGCTCTGATACCATGAAAAGAGAGAATAGAATTACTTATTATTCTCAAATTGTGATTATAGGGTTACAAATATATATACGTGCTTAACCCTACTCACAAACTAGATTACTATTCTACCCTTAATATTCACAATATTTCCCAACAGTATCATCAGTCTTATAGCATACAATTGGATGATCACGATTTCGAGCAAAGGCAAATGCAAAGAGGGCTCGTCAGCCTATTTCTTGAGACATTCGAGACATTATCTATCGACAACGATGAAGATATGCGAAAAATCACATCATTGTAGAGTTGGAGAATGAGAACATAATTCAGAACACCAACTGAATAGAAATAGAACATGCTAACATCATGTTAAACCTAAGATCCACACAAGAAACAGAATTAGAACATGCTACCATCACGTTAAACCTAAGATCCACACAATAACAGAATTAGAACATGCTACCATCACGTTAAACCTAATATCCATACATTAGGCAACTTAATAATTCCATCGAAAAAGAGGAAATAGAATCAATCGACTATCTCCCCTATAACCTTTTCTTGAAGAAACAAATAGCTAAATGCCATCAAGCGCACGATATAAACAATCAATATCGCCAACTCTTTAGTCTCACGAAACAAACATAAAGATTAATTTATGCTCTTCTTTTTGTCAGAAAGATTGAACGAAAAATGCGCATACCCACCACTAACATTTCCTAGGTAAATAATCTGAAGCAAACAAGTAATGCCCAGAAGCAACATTGCAAGCAGAAAGCCACCAGCTCGCAAAAAAGAAAAGAAATCTTTCCCCAAGAAAAGCACCAAAAATTTCAGAGAAACCGAGGGGATCGGGCGCAAGACATAACCTGAGACGTTTGGCGAGCCACTTGAGGCGATGGGCAGCCGCGCATCCACGATGCGCTTTGGTTTGGAAGGCGGGGCCACGTCCGAACCCGGCCTCGCCTTGATCCTTCCAGTTGCTCGACAGAAGACGATGGAGTCTTTCCGACGCACCAATGGAGCTTCTACTCGATCACTTCAACCAAAAAGATTAGAACTTTGGTGACTCTCTGCACACAAAGAGAGGAGAAAATATTGGGTAGAGCTATGCCAGCGAGGTTTGTTGGACAACGGAAACGGCAAGAACCCTTCAAAATAGATCCCAAAATGAAAAAAATTACATAGATTTTGGAGTAAATCTAAGAAAATATTTACCTTTCAAGGCGGAGGCAGAGGCGGCGGCGTGGTACAAAGCCAGGCGTGGCTCGTCAAACGGCGGAGACGGTGAAAACAAAGCGAGATGAGAGATAGAGGGAGAGAACAGAGCGAGTCGAGGGAGAGACGGCGTGGTTCGTCGGACGGCCAAGGCAACGGACGAGGCCGAGGCGGAGGCGGTGGCGTGGTTCGTCGGAGGAGAGCTCAGCCGTGAGTCGGAAGGGTGGCGTGAGTCAGGAGGGAGAGAGAGCAAAGCGTGAAAGGAAGAGTGAAGAGAGAGAGAGAGAGAGTGTCCCGCTTCAACCTTTGAAATTGAATTTGGCTGACGCATGTGGGGCCTAGGCGACACGTGTCGCACGCTGAGTGAGTTGGATTTTACTAGCATGGAATCACAGTTCCACCCAATATTTTCTCGGTGGTAGTGCCCAAATCCGTTAGGTGCATGTGGATCATATGAACCCCACGAGATCCAACGGTGTAGATGCAATGGACTGATTGTACTAGTTGAATCCAATCCATTGGATTTTTATAATAAGTGATAGGACGTTTTATAGAGTATTGAATTTGATTTATTTCTTTAGAAATCCTATTATTAATTGATCTATCTCGTTTTTCCTTGGATCTATCTTAGTATATCTGGTATTACTCTTTTTATTTTATTTTCCTGAGCACATAGGTTTTGACTTATGGACATTATAAAAGGAAATATTTTCGATTTAACAAACTCATTTTACTAAGAAAAATTTTAATAACCTGAGACAATTTAAATGAAGCTTGTGCTGTGATTGATGGCCTGACTTTGATCTATCACATACTTGGACATTGCTTGGTATGACATTTACATAGCAGCATTAATCGTGAAAAGGCTACAGTTTTTATAAGGTGTTTTTGCAAACATATCGCAATTGCAATACCTTACTTTACCTTTTAAGAAGCCGAACCCACCCAATTTTTATTTATTGTAGTTTTAAAACATGTATCGCCACAAACACAAATGATAACACTTCACAACACAATCATATCCCAGCCCAACTACAATACTACCATGATTATACCAAACGAGCTATATGAATCAAGCTTTTACATCCTCATTTCGTATGCGGTGATAGGATATTAAAATATCTCGAGAAATTATTCGATTGAAAGGTTATCTTGATTAGATTACCAAAAAATAACAATGGCATTTTATGAATCTCGAATTATATTTATCAAATTGTCCGATGTTGTGTTCACCATAAATTTGGCAATTCCCGTTTCTTTTGTAGCTAGGTCTGACTAGCATTTGTATCGTCTTTAAGGTAGAATTGGTATTAGATGGGCATAACATTAATAGGAGGGGGTGAATTGGTTTTTCAAGAAATCACCAAGTAATTTTGTAGAACCAACCCCAAAAAAAATATTGCTTCTATGCGTGAACTAAACTTGTAATGTAAATAGCGGAAATTAACGAGTTCAAGGAAAAAGAAATTGGAATGGTATTTCCAACTTTAACGTCCCAAATAGATCAAAATCCACTAGTTATGCTGAGAATATAAATACAGTCTTATCACACATTTAGAACTTGCCATTCTTGATGTAGCTAGCAAGGATCACCTAGAGGGGGGTGAATAGGTGATCTAAAATAATTTTTAATAATTTATGCGGAAACAAAATAAATCACAGAAGAGTCTGAATAAAATTCGGATTCAAGACAGATTATATAGACAAGTGCTCTTGATGTGCGAATGTAAAGTAAGAGATAAGGGAACGAGAATCGCACACAAGTTTATAGTGGTTCGGCTTATAGCAAGCCTACGTCCACTCTCCCACGCTGACCCTACTCTGGCTGGATTTCACTATGTAATCAAGAGGAATTACAACTCCGAAGTGTTAACACTCTTGTGTATGATAGGACTCTCTATCTCACACAATTACTCTTACAAAGTGTCCCTCAAGATCTTAATGTTTGGCTCTAACGATAAGAGAAATGATTGGAGTAAGCTCAGACTTTGGACTTGTTGATTCTTGATTCTGTACACCATTCTGCTGCTCATTGATCTCCTTAAATACTCCTCTACTTCCAAACTAGCCGTTGGACAAGATTCGGAGGATCATCTTCCAATATTTACCTTGGACTGATTTGTATAGAAAGGATTGAGTAGCCGTTGGATAACGTATTCCGAATCCCACGATTCTCGGTCGCCCATACAATCGAATCTTGGTTTCCATAAGTAGAGCTTTGTCCGTTGTAATGCATTTTTGTCGTGATGTTTGATTGTCAATCAATTTGATTCAGATTGAGACAATCAGAACATTCCTTCTGTGAAATCCATGCCAGATCACTAGCTGTTGTGATATGTTCTGAATTCTGCGTCTGAAGAAATTCTGCGTCTGCATCAGAAGAACTTCTGCGTCTGCGTCTAAAGAATTTCTGCATTTGAATAATTTCTTCGTCTGCATCTGCATCTGAATAACTTCTGCTTCTGCATTTGAATAACTTCTGCGTCTGAATCTTAGAACTTCGATTATGTGGGTCTTCAAAAATATACTTGACAGTTTGTAAAGTCTAAATAACTTTCTTCTGAGCTTCCAAAATATACAGACCTGGAATAAAATTATTCAGAATAAGTATCAGATTTACAATAACATAGAAGGTTTTGTCATCTTCAAAATTAATAGGAGTTTTCCTCAACAATCTCCCCCTTTTTGATGGTGACAAAACTTTCTTTGCAGATTGAATTATTTTGAAAATAAATAAACATATTAAGCTCATTAAACACAGATTGAAAGAGCAAACTCTGTTGATATCTGTGTCTTTCTTGCTTTGAATATAACCTGTGAATCTGCAAAATCTGCATATAATTTCTCCCCTTTTTGTCATCAACAAAAAGAATAATAATAGATAGAATAATGCACTGAGATTAAGAAATCAACCAGTCTAACAATAAGTATGAGATATATTACAGACCAATTGAAAAAAAATAGAGAGAAATATTAAAAAACAGGCTATTTTTTAGGAGTACGAATCAGTTAAAAATTTTCCAATATTGAGACAGCCTCCTCAATCTTCAAACTGCATTGACCTATGGCCTTATCCATGCTGGATGAGCACATAGTAATGGCTTCCTCTAATTCTGCTTTATCTGCTGCTGCTTGAAGTTGTTGAGCCTTGGTGTTTTTCTCAACAATTTTCTGTAGATTCTGCATATTTTATTCTAGAGCAGCCTGTTTGTCTTTAATCTCGAGCATAATAGAAAGGATGTTCTGATTTTCGGATGGCTGACCTTGGTCATTAGCTTCCTCAGACTGATTGTACCCTGTGGCTGATTCTGATGGAATCTCCCCCTGAACAAGTGATTGAACTTCAGAAACATGTTCTTCATGAATTGGTTCTGAAACATTAGGAACTGGTTCAGGAACATGTTCTGGGCCTCCTGTTTCAAAGTGTTCAGCTTCTGCTTCATCATTTTCATCTTGCAGAAGAATTTTACGCTTCTTGCTGTACACTTTTATTGGGGTAGAAGAATCAGGCTGCTTGCTGGCTGAACTTATTCTTTTCCTTTGCTCCTTTTCTTTCTGAACTTTCTTGCCAACAGATTTTACCTCTGACTTTTCAGC